CACAGTTTCTTTAATAAACTAAGTATGTGCAGACATGTATATATACATACATAAGCATGCATACAGAAGCATTAAAGGATAGCGATTAGTGAAGTGTAATATTTATGAAAGCAATTGAAGAATCTAATTCAATGACAGATGGGAGAGTTGGACCATCTTTGGAACAGAGTTCAAGGCCAATCTGGACACCGTGGACCATATAGTTAACAATGAATTTTAAATTTAGTAATTCAGTAATTGAATTACTTTAGAGCATTTCCTTTGAAACAGAGTCTTTCTGTGCAATGAATAAATGGTAGTGACGCAGTGCTACTGATACAAAAAAAATAATCTAAGATCATGATAACATAAAATAATAATAATGCATGAATTAACTATATATTGTTTCCTTGCAAAGCACAGCTGCTTTTCAAATGCATTTTAATCTTCAATTTCCCCAAATTTCCCATGACATACTCTCTGAAAAACCAACCTCACCGCCATCGAGTCAATGCTGACTCATAGCCACCCCTTTTGCGTTTCTGAGACGATCTGTTTACAGGAGCAGAAAGCAGCCTTTCTCTCGCCACAGTCTTCGTAAGAAAGTTTAAGTGCACACAAATACAAGCTCAACGTAAGAATCAAAGAACTACATACAGACAAAATAAGAAAGAACTGTCTTTGCCTCTCTCGCTGCCTTCTGGTGGAGGGGTCAAGTGCTGCGCTGCTAAATGCAAGGTCGGCAGGAGCCTCTTGACCAGAGGAAAAGGAGCCTTTCTACTCTCATAAAGCGTTTCAGTCCCAGCAATCCACAGGGCACTTCTCCCAGGCCTTCCAGAGTTCCTACTAGACAGGACCAAAGAAAGCATTTAATGTCATGTGAGTGCTGTGCTGCACTGAATTTTAAAAATCAACAAATATGTGTTGAGAACTAAATCATGAAAATACTTTATTGTTTCAAACTGAAAATTGATTAATATATAGGTAAAGCGTAATATTATATGACATTCTTCATTTATTCATAAGTTTGTAGTGTGACATGACAATGCCAATAAGTTACCCAGGCTGTTTAAGAACAGAAACAATTGTCTTCTCTATTGTACAGCATGAATTTAGTGAATATCCAAGACATTGTGGTTACTTGCCACTGAAGTCTGTTCTGACTCCTAGCAAACCTATGTACAACAAAATGAAACACTTTTCATTGCAGCATTACCAAGAACTATGTTTGGTAATTTCCCAAATACATCCTCCACTCTCTATTGATAGTTGTGTCTGGTCCAGCTCCATTTCCTGGGGCTAAAAGAGTATTTTCTTTTGTTTTGGTGTTTATACAAGAGGGTTTCAGTAGGGGACTTCTCTTGTGATAATTATTAAACTCTACCCCCCTGGTCATTGTATGAGATCAAAATACTTACCCCAAATCAAGCCTAGGGAAGCCTGTTTGGAGAGAAGGAAGCACGTGAGACCTCACTTTGTTTCCTTTCCCAGCCCTCCCTCCCGGAGGGTTATGTGAGGTCTCCAAGCTGACAGAGGGATTTCCCTTCACAATGGCAGAGAGGAACGTGAAATGGAAACATTCTCATTTCACAAGAGGGAAACAAATGTCCCACGAACTGAAGTGATTTCTCCTAGTTCCAATAGCACCATGTGGTTCAAACTCACTTGGGATGCGGGGTCTCTAATAACTGAAAACCCACTTGGTGTTATCTAAGACAACAGCAACAATGGCACCACGATCTAACTGTTAGGTGATTTTTTTATTTGTTTCTCTTTCTATTACATCACTCTATATCCAGACTGTGAGGAAATTGGGGACAATTTGGTGTCAGAGGTCATCGAATGCAGTCAGACACAGAGTGATCCTAAGTCCCACAGAGCAAACTACTGCCCAGTCCTGTGCCATCCTCACAATTGTGCTGTTTCAGCAAATTGTTGCAGCCACTGTATCCATCCCCCTGGTCTAGGGTCTTCCTCTTTTTTACTGACCTCCTATTTTTCCAAGAATTGTGTCCTTCAAGGAACTGGTTTCTCCTGCTTCCATGTCCAAAGCATGTTAATGCAGTCTCGCCATCCTTAACTCTAAGGAGTACTCTGTCTGGACTTCTTTCAACTCAGATTTGCTTGTTCATCTGGCAGTCTGTGACACTTTCAACAGGCTCTGCTGACATCATCATTCAAATGCATCAATTTTAAGATAAGCTAGGAAAGCATAAAGACACCCACGTTCCATACGATGTGATCATCCAACTGGCCCTACTTGGGCTCACCGGTGAGGGCAGTGTCCAGGCATGTCGAGATTCAAAAGACAAATTGTAGGCTTATGTCTTTGTATCTGTGTCAGGTGAAGGTCAACTTCTCCAGATATAGAAATGCTACTATGCCCACAAGCGCAGACCAGCCAGTTGCCATTGAATTGCCATTGAGTTGATTCCAATTGATGGTGACCCCATGTGTGTCAGTCTAACTGTGCTCAAAGGATATTTTAGTTTATATTTTAATTCTACTTCTCTGTTGCTACTGCTGTTGTATATGCATACACAAACACACCAACATAAGTTTTCATGTGTACAGTGTATAATGGAATAATACATTTGTGATTTTTGGAATTATTTTCAGCCACCTTTTCTGATTTGCTCCTTCCTCATTGACATAAACGTACTTTGCCCTAGAATTTCCAGCCAGTTTTTTAAATTGTTATTATCCATTTGATCTCACAACTTTTTAAAGAGCCCAATGCCCAAGGTACACATAGTTTAACTAGCTAAGGGTTTTTAATAGCTGATATTTAAAAAAGAGATTCACAGATGTTCCTCCTAAGACATTAATAGATGTAAATGATCCCTGACTTTGTGGTTAGCATCTGAACCTATTAATTGTCTGAACCAAGAAAAGCCCCAAACAGGGAAATCAATTCAAATAAATGAGGATTCGTGGTTACAAGCAAAGAGATGAAGAAATATTTTAAAATGGCAAGAGAGAATAACCCCTTAGCTTAATGGGTAACTTAGGGGATTTGCTTGATCTCTCTGGATGTCAATAACTCATCTGCAGTGGTGAGTGGACTGTTGTGTGATCAGACAATGGTCAGAATATATTTCCCTTGACTATGGGTCTCAAACAGTATTAAGTACCCATTTTCCACTTTGAAGTACTATGATGATGTGTTTCCCCTACAATAATGCTAGTGGTCTTTTTTAGCCTTTTCAAACAAATTGTCTCTTGGGAAAGCTACCTGCTAGACTAATTCTATGGGAAAAATAAACAATGTCACTGTGTTCATTTTCTGGTGACGTTCTCAGAACCCAGTGGTCAAAGAAGTGTGCTTTGCAGTGTTTTCTTTCTTCTATGCAATTATTCTTCTGGGAAACCTTCTCATCATGCTGACAGTACATGTGGGCAACCTTTTCACGTCTCCAATGTATTTCTTTCTCAACTATTTGTCTTTTGTCGACATCTGTTTTTCCTCAGTAACAGTTCCCAAGATGATTTTCGACCTTTTAGCCAAGAGTTGCAACTCTTTGGGGTACATTTCTTCTGGAGCAGGCACAGGTAGCATGGTCCTTCCAATGCCCTGAATTCACATAACTTGTCTCCAGAACTGTGAGACAATACGTTTTCTGTTCTTCAAAGCCCCCTGATTTGTAAGATTTAGTTATGGCAGCCCTAAGAAACTAAGACACTAATTTAAGGCCAAAGTCCAAGGCACTGGAAATGAACACAGAAGAT